AGATTAATGTTGATTGGTTGAATAACATCACACTTTCCTTCAAAATAAGCAACAAGGAAGTGAAGAAACAAAAGTCAGCATTGAGAGCTCCTTCTACAGTAGAGGCCTTCCCAGCACTCTGAAGAAGGGAACTCGTATGCCAGCCTTTCTGCAGACTTTAGCTGTAGAATTGAAAGTGGTGCATGTGTGTGCGTGCTTGTGTCTGCACGCTCATGTGTGTCCACATGTGTTTCATGGAGGAGAAGGGTGTGTCACTCTGACTCTGATGGCTTCTGTAAGAGACTGAGTTTATCCTGTGATGCTATCGGCGGGATTCGGCTGCTGGGAAGAATGATTGGAATGCTTATTTTATACAGACGGGATTGCCTTGGTCCATTCTTATTCATTCGGGATATGCAATCGATTGATCTTTAAATTACTTTATGTGTTTGGGTGTCTTGCTACTTCCCTAAGCCCTCTTAGTATAGCTAGCCAGACAGTGTGGCTCTAGGAACCCAGTGAAGCACCATCAAAGCCCAGGCTGGACAACTTGTAGGAAATGAACACTGTATGCGAGCCAGGCGGTGGTGGACGCATGCCTTTAGTCCCAGCACTGGGGAGGCAGAGGCAGGCGGATCTCTGAGTTCATGGTCAGCCTCGTCTACAGAGTGAGTTCCAGGACAGCCAGGACTATGCAGAGAAACCAAGAAAATAATAATAATAATCAAAGAATATGCATTAAGTATACACATGCACCAGGTGTTAGGAGCAGAGGTGACTATGGTATAATCTCAAGGGGTCCCATGTAGTGCAGTTCAGAGACACAACTGGAATCTCAGCCTGGGCTCACCCATTCTTACAGAGGTGTTAATTCTGAGAAAAGTTCTTACCAACTGAGGGTTGCTATGGCCTTGTTGAATAGCAAGATCTGTGGGTAGTGAGTGTTCCTATCCCATAGGTCTGTGTCTCTGTAAGACACTTTGAATTAAATCATGTATTGGGGCGGGTTTTATAACCCCAGAGTTTTGAAGCCGAAGGAGACCATAGGTGCACTGAAGTATGCCAGTGTGGAGGAGACCAGTCTCTTCACAGGGTGGTGTGATCCTGTTTGATCACATGATTGACCGGGAACACCAGAGGGCAGTTCTGGCGTCAGACCCACCCAAGCAGAGGTGTTCCAAATCCTCAGCCCACGTGACCTGTCCCAGTGGGCCACATGAGGGATTCCAGCATGGCTGTGGTGTGAAGCAGTGTTTGAGAGATGCAGTCCCAGGGCTTTTGTGTGCAGTAGCTTCCCTGGAGTGCTTGTGGGGAGGAGGGAGGACACAAGAGATCTAAGTGTCTACCATGTTCCCAGTCCAAATTGAATGAGGTTACATGGCACCTTTAAAGTAACAGTGTTTATAGATAGTAGACACTGGTGAATGTATTTTCATTTATTTGTGTGTGTCTGTGTGCTTGCACGTGTATGTGGAAACCAGAGGTTGATAGTGAGTGTGCCTCCCTTGGTCACTTTCCACTTTATATTTTGAGACAGTCTTTCACTGAATCTGGAGCTCACCAGCTCTCTAGACTAGCTGAGGGCGGGCAGACCTCAACTCTCCTCTTGTCTCTGACTCCTGAGCACTGGGATTATAGCATGTGCTGCCATGCCCAGGTTTTAGGTGTGTGCTGGGGCCCAAACAGGGGTCTTCATGGCCCCAGACTTGATCATTTTATCTGCAGTAAAGACATTAAGGCTTGGGGCCCATCCTCTTCATCCACTACGGACAGAACATCACAAGGATCTAGAGTTGGAAGTGACCTGGAGATCCCCTGCGTTGGCTGGTCATGTGACAGCAGGGTCCAGGGTTATATAGCACTAGTTAGGGACAGAGTGGGGCCAAATTTGCTTTGATTTGCAGATCAAATCCTCCTCTGGTAAGCACCTTACCCCCCTCCCGCCCCCAGCAAAAACCCGGGGGGGGGGTTGCTTTTTTGCTGGCCTTTGGTGAATGCCTAAACCAGCTTGGGTATCACTTGGTTTGGCCCAGGATGCCCGTGATGGCCTGAAATATTCTTCCATGATGCTACTGTGTGGGAAATGAGACGTAGTAAGTGCTGTGCTATTTTCTCTGGGGTCTTCAGGCCACTGCCCTTCATAGAGATGTGTGTCTGTCTCCCACGTTGTCCTGACCAATAGTGTGTTATGTTTTACCTGGTCAAGTAGTCCAGGATGACTCAGCCCTTTTGACAACCTTTGGAGTCTTCTGAGTTGAAAGGGATTTTCATAAATAGGAAGCAGATGTGTCTGAGTAAGAACATGGAAGCAAGACTGTGAGGCAGGGCTTGCTGGAGGCTCTGTATTAAGGCTGGTCCTGGGCCCTGGCTGCTAGGAACAGAGGCTTGAAACTGGGATGCAGGGGAGGCAGGTTTGGGTTGCACTACTGTGATATTCTCTTGTCAGGGGAATGGCCCTGTGGGTCAGAGGCTTCTAGGATTTGGGGAGCCACTTTTGAGTTAGGAATTGTGCCACATGGCCCAGGGTGACAGAAGTTTAGATTTTAACATTTGGCTGGAAGTTGAAATAAAACTGCCTTTTTTTTTCACCTTTTTTAAATTTTATTTTTCCTTTTCAGATTTCTTTTCTCTCACATTTATTTATGTATCACAGCATGCATGTGGAGGTCAGAGGTCAGAGGTCAGGGAGCCAGTTCTCCCCTTTCATCCCGTGAGTTCTGAGCATTGACCCCAGGTTGGCAGGCCCGTGGCAGGTACCTTTCTTTAGCTGCTGGACCATCATCTCACTGACCCCGGTTCCACAGACCGTCTCCTATCCCTCATTCATGTGTTTTTGGATTCATAATATTCCTTTAGATTATGTAGAAGAAGGCATCCAGTCAAAGCGCGGAGTTTTCGGTAAAGCAGTTCAGAAAAACCACGAGCCACTTCCTGCTTGTGCATCTACACCTAAGTCTTTAAACAAAAAGAAAGCCGAGCTGGGAAAATGACTCAGTAAAGTGCTTGTCATGCAAGCTGGAGGACCTGGGTGTGGTGGTGCACTGTGCCTTCGTCACTTGGTGCTGGGGAAGCAGAAAAAGGGGGCTGTCTGGGGGTCCCTGACTGACCATTCTAGCCTAATCAGTGAGCTTCAGGCCAATGGCAGACCTGTCTCAAAGGTGGCAGATGGTGTTTCGAAGGATAACACCTAGGTTTGTCCTCTGGCATGCACACACACAAGTTGGTTTTGGTTTTTTGGTTTTTGTTTTTTTTTTTTTTTTTTTGGTTTTTTTTTTTTTTGGCACGTAATTTTCTTTGTTTACTGGAAATAATTAGAAAACTTTTTGAAGCAAGATAGCACATTGCCCATGTGTGAACAGTCTGGAGAAAAGGGATACATCTGGGCACCTTCCGTCCCGACCTCCACCCAAAGGACCCAATCTGTGGGATTAGGTCAGTGTGGGAAAGGAGATGGCTTCACCTAGGTAGGAAAGCACTTTGCACCAGGGACAACCCTAACAGCTCCTGGAGCTCAAATGTGGAGGGACAGCACCCCCTTCTGGACACAGGGATAGCTCTAGAGCGTCTGAAGAGCACCAAATGTGACAGCTGAATGTGACAGCCTGTATGGAGAGACAAGTTTTACATGGAGGACAGGTTCCCACGGGACCCTCATTCCTGGACAGGCAGGAGGTGGGGGGCTGTGGTGTGGACCTGACCAGATCAGTAAGGCATCTGGCAGGGTCAGCATGCAGTGGGACTGACAATGTCCAGGGACAGTGAGAAAGATCTGGAGAGGAACAGATGAGGAGTGATCTTCAGATATTCAGATCACACCCCCAGGCTTTTTAGGATGTTCGACCCTTTCCCACTTAGGCAGAGGAGAGTAACCCTCAAGCCACGCCTTGCGCCCTGCCTGGCACTGGCCCTTTGTCACTGTGGCTCTAATTCTCTTTCTCTCCAGTTTCTCTTTCTTGTCCTCTTCTCTTTCACCCAATGCCCCTGTAGCACACAGTCCCCATCGAATACCCACTTACAACCCAAGGCCACCCCTGCTTGTGTCTTAGTTGAGCGGGACAGCAGTGCTTCTGGTCCTTGACTGTTGGGGCCTAGGCACCCGAAGGAATCCCCGGTTGTGTGGAATTGCCTATTTTAAATAAACCTGTGATTCTAATCCTATCCACTGCATGGTGCCTATAAATTAATTCAAAGCCAGTGGCCTGGAGAATGAAAAGCATCTGGACCACATCAGACAGATTCAAACCCAGAACCACAAAGGGGGAACGGGGCATGTTAGCTAACTATGCAGAACCATAAAGGGGGAACAAGGCGTGTTCACTAACTATACAGAACCATAAGGAGGGGATGGAGCGTGTTCACTAACTATACAGAACCATAAAGGGGGATGGAGCATGTTCACTAACTATACAGAACCATAAGGGGGGATGGAGCACGTTCACTAACTATACAGAACCATAAGGGGGGATGGGGGTGTTCACTAACTATACAGAACCATAAGGGGGGGATGGGGGTGTTCACTAACTCTGCAGAACCATAAAGGGTGGTTCCAGAGAGGGTGCAGAGCTGTTCCCCAGCAGCCAGGAGACATGCTATGGTGTCCCTGGTAACTGACTTTAGCCATGGGGGCCACATTGCTTGTCCTAGCTGACATCCAAGAGTGAACCTGGAAGTAAACAGCTTCCGAGCTCCCCCTCTTCTTCTCCACGCCTATGCTCAGACCTGCTCTCGAGATTCGTCCTCCGCTGCCTCTAAGAATCATGAGCGTCCCAGCTAGATAGATGGTCCTGGGTAGTAGAAAGCAGTTTGAGCAAGCCATGGAGAAGAAGGTAGTAAGCATTGCCCCTCCATGGCCTCTGCTTCAGTTCCCACCGCCATGTTCCTGCTCTGACTTCCCTTCATGATAAGGTGTAATGTGAGGAGAAAAAAAGATTCATGACAGGCTCTAGTGTCCATCATTTGCAAAGGCCGGGCTGAGCCAGTAGCTGGAGTTGCCACTCATGGAGGCCTGTCTTGCTTCACAGGTGTTCATCTCCGTGAACTGCTTGAGCACCGACTTCTCTTCTCAGAAGGGTGTGAAGGGCTTGCCTCTCAACATCCAGATCGACACCTACAGCTATAACAACCGCAGCAACAAGCCAGTACACCGGGCCTACTGCCAGATAAAGGTTTTCTGTGACAAGGTGAGCAAACAGCAGGCTGCAGGCTTCCGGAGGAGCAGCTGAGGGGTGCACCCTTCCCCAACAGTGCCTGGCACTTCCTTCCACACACAGCCGCCAACCTTAAATGGACACTTAGCATTTTTACCCTTGAATGAAAGGAAGCTAGATTATAGAAGGAAGGGGAAATACTCACTTGAACTAAAAAAGACTGAGAATGATTGGATGCTAAGTTTCGTTGTGTCTGATAAAGGATATGGACCCAGTCCAGATCAGTAACTACCATGCCGACTCCCTCCACCTGACTTGCCTCCCAGAAGGCCCTTAGGCAGGCAGGCAGTCCCCAAGATTTCTGCATCTGCTTCAAGTTTCTCTGGTGCAGCTTTTTGCCACCCCCCCCCTCCCAAACACATGGCTGCTTTTGCCTGGTGCAGAGCCAGGGTTTCTGTTCAAGTCAGACTCTGGCGAGGCTGTTGGATCTGACCACTGGAGGGAGCCTGGGACCTTCGCCTTTAGAGAGCTTTCTCAACAGCCTGCCAGATCAGGCTCATCTTCAGGCCAGGGTCTCTACCTGTAACAAATGATCACAAATTCAGCGGCTTAAAGCAACACTCTGTTATTATCTTTCAGTAGCTCACTCTTACTGAACCGACATCAAGGTGTGAGCAGGTCTGCATTCCTTTCTGTCTCCAGTCTGTTTCCATGCCTTTTCCACCTGCGGGGTGCGGTTTGCAACCATGTCTGTCTCAAGCCTGCAGTGGCTCACACCGAATCCCTCATACCCACTCTGCATCTTCATTATGCCTCTGTTTTATTCTGCTTTCTGGTCCCTTGTCATCACCTCCTTGGCTGGCCTAGGATCTTGTCCCCATCTTCCAGCCAGTCACCTAGCAGCCTTCCCTCCCCTTTTCTATGTAATTGGCTCCTTCCCAGGCCCCAGGATCAGGTGTGGAGCTTAATGGGACACAGGTGCTTCTTGTGGGCTGCACTTGGAAACAGTGAGTCACAGCTGGTGGGCACGTGCACTTGTGACCTAGGTCAGGCTCTTCCCATCTGACCATATTCTTCCCTAACCCAGAGAAAACCTGGTGATCCAGGTGTGTAGCACCGGCACCTGAGAGGCCGGGAGAATTGGGAGACAGGCCAGCCTGGGCTACATGCACACAGACATTTTCTCTCTCTCTCTCTCTCTCTCTCTCTCTCTCTCTCTCTCTCTCTCTCTCTCTTCCCTCCCTCTCTCTCTCTCAAAGAGCTACCAGGATATTTACATTTACATTATCGTTTTATAAAACTAGAGAAGTTGCAGTTTTATTCAAACCTTTTGTGATGTTTCTGTTAAATCTGACTAATAATGTCCCTGGGTATTCTTGAGAATTCCTGAGTTCATTTTTTGAGTGCCATGAAGATTTTTTTTTCTACAACTGCCTCAGCTCTCTGATGCCCACCTGCAGCCCTGACTCTGTCTGCTATGCCATTGCCCCACGTTTTAGTGGTTGCCTTTTGATTGCCTTCCGCTAGCTCTCAGAGCTCTTTGAGTCTGGTCTCCACTTGTAGTCAGAAACTAGAAGTAAGGCACTTTGGGATGTCTTTTGATGTGTGGACATCCTAAGGAAGCTGTACCATCTCTGTTATGAGCTGCTTAGCTGGTTTGATAAATGAGTTTCTCATCTCTCAGGAGCAGCAGCCACTCAGCCCATTTTCAGAGAAAATATGGGCAGAGTTTGGATTTCTAAACAGTGGAACTTGGGCCACTGCTTTTTCTATTGTCTCACTGGCCCATCCTTATGGTTTCTGACACTGTCTTTTGTAGCCTGTGCCTGTTATAGAAGCAACAATGACCTTGAATTCCTGAGCCTTCTGCCTGTTACCCTGAGTGCTTAGCATAAGACCTATGCCATCTCACTGACACCCCCACAGAAGTCAGTCTCCTAACAGCCCTAACAGGCAGCAGGTTCTTTAGGCAAGCGTTTTGGGACAAGCCCTGCTGTGCCCAAGCATATTCCCAACAGATGATGGTGAGAGTTCAAAAAGCTTGTGGTCAGTTGGTCCCCATACCATCCCAGAACTTCCTTTAACACCTTGCGGTACCTGAACTGGGAATGAACCCTTCAACTCTTCTGTGTGAGAAGCTTTTATTCCATGTTACACTCTTGTGCTGGGTGTAAGGTCTGTCTGTCAGTTCACAGGTGCTGCAAGATTGCACTGCTGGTGAGGCTTCAGCCATCCTGGTCTTTTCTATGCATATGATCTTCCTAACTCTTAGCAAGATTTTCTCTTCCACTGGTTGTGAGCATTTGAGTCTGATAAGGCTGCATGTCCTTGAGTTTGCCGAGCATCTGTGTGTTCGTGGCTTTCACTGGGTTTTGGAACATGTCTGGCTGTTGTTTCTTTAGATGTGCCTGCTCCTTCCCTTCTCTGATGTGCTTTGAGTTTCACTGATGGCCTATTGTAGTCGTTGTTGTCCTTTGGTTTTTCTTACTTCATCCTAGATAGTTTCCTTTTTTTTCCAGGTTTTATTTTATTTTATTTTATTTCTTTTAAAGATACAACATTCATGCCGGGCGTTGGTGGCGCACGCCTTTAATCCCAGCACTCAGGAGGCAGAGGCAGGTGGATCTCTTGTGAGTTCGAGACCAGCCTAGTCTACAGCCTAGTCTACAAGAGCTAGGTCCAGGACAGCCTCCAAAGCCACAGAGAAACCCTGTCTCGAAGAAAAAAAAAAAAAAAAAAAAAAAGATACAACATACTGCTTCCATCTGCACACCAGAAGAGGGCACCATATCTCATAACAGATGATTGTGCGCCACCATGTGGTTGCTGGGAATTGAACTCAGGACCTCTGGAAGAGCAGTTGGTGTTCTTAACCTCTGAGCCATCTCTCCAGCCCGATAGTTTCCATTTTTATGTCCTAGGTTTGTTGATCCTTTGCCAGGTCTAAACCGATAAACTGAACTCCATCTGTTGGCGTTTTTATCTCTGAAAACCCAAGCTGGACCCATTTTCCATCCTGTCTCTACTCAGCTAGCAGTGGGTTGGGTTTTGCTGTTGGAGGTGATAATTGTTATTTGTTGTTTTTGGTGGCAGCAAACATAGGGTCTTGTGCATACCAGGTAGATGTTGTCCCACTGAGCCAGACCCTCAGCATAGGCTTAGTTTTTCGATAGCTTTTGAATGACATCACTGGCTTAATGTCTGTGCCTGGTACCCAACTCTGGGTCCACTTCCATTGTTTGAGTTCCTTTCTGCTTGGGTAGAAATCTATCTGTCTTGCTGGGTATCTGGCCTTATGCATTTTGCCTTGCTGCGGCTGGGTGTTTTTATCCCTCAGACTCTTCTTCAGGTTTGTCCTCATTAAGTTTCTTGGAAACAGTTTGATTCATTCAGATGTCATCTTATGATCCACTCTGGACCAGTTTCAGGCCCATTATTCTGCACTACTGTGCAGGATTTCCTGGGTGTTGGCTCGGTGCCCTGTGAGAGGAAAGCTTTTTCCAGTCCAGTTGGTGGGAACAGACAGTATGTTTACCCTTTATGCAAGTCAGGGTAGTGTTCTCTGTCTGGGGTGGTGTTTGGAGTAACCTCTTTGCACTTGTGTACTTGGAAGCTGCTGACCACTCAGGGTTGAATCTCCTTGTGCTTTGTTGTCCTTCCTCTTCTTCAGCTGGGACTTGGGAGGGAGGCATCCCCTGAAGGGCTTGTACCCCCCACCCCTTTTCTGCAAGGACTGTCAGACTCCTTGGTTCCTAAGTTTGGTTTGGTCCTGTCATTTCAGAATAGGGTGTGAGTCTCTATCTTGACAGGAGCCCAAGTTCCTTGTGTGTATGTGTGGAGTGTGTGTGTGTGTGTGTGTGTGTGTGTGTGTGTGTGTGTGTACACAAGAGTTCAGTGTGTGTGTGTGTGGTGTGTGTGTGTGTGTGTGTGTGTGTGTGTGTGTGTGTGTGTGTGTACACAAGAGTTCAAGCACTCAGAGGAGGAGGCTAGAGTTTGATGTACTGTGTCTTTCTTGGTATATATTGAGTCAGGATCTCTTACTTGAACCCAAATTGCCAGTTTGGCAGCTCCTGCTAGCCAGCTTACTTCAGGAATGCACAGTTTCTACCTCTTGCTCACTGGGATTGTAGGTAGGGCTGCAGTGTCCACCCACAGTTTACATGGGTGTTGGGGATCAGAACTCTAGTCCTTACCCTTGTACTGCAAGCAATTCTTATAAGGAGGCTGTCCATCTCCCATGTTGTACATCTACCATGTACATGTACAAGGTGTTAGCACCTTCTAGAGCAGGCAGGAGGTTCTGTGTTGTTTTCAAAGCCGATCCTTATTGTGTAATGAGGCCAAGGATCAATGAGAGGCCCTTCACTTCCTCCTTCCTATTAGAGAGTATATATGACAGAACATAAGCCAGCAGTTCCTACCTCGATGGGGAGCTGTGAAGTCACCTGTCTGCACAGTGCAGAGACGGCATCACTAGACAAAGGAAACTGAGTCAATGTTACATGTTAATGTGCCAAATTGTGCCCAATTTCAGGTCATGGGTTTCACTAGTAGAGTTCATGTGAATATTTTTGTGGACTCGGTTGCATGATACAGCCACTCTGTGCAGTTGATATGCATGGCACAGGTAAGTCCTTTTACAGGACACAGCACAAAGACCATTAGTGACATTTGTTTTTGTCATCAATACCTGATTGTGTCTGTCACTCATGGGCACCATGTCTTTGGACAGAGCCGTTGCTCTCTGTGATGACATTGGCCACCCAGGGAATATTCATAGGGCTAAATTTTATTTTTGTCTTTGATGGCCCTTTCATATGAGATAAGAGGAAAGGTACCCACACCTTTGGTGGGCCAGCTTCACCTTTAACCTCGCTGCATCTGTTATCAACAGGAATTTTGCTTTATTTGTGTTTAAAATGTTCCCTGTGGTTGATTTCATGTAGCTAGAAATGATTTTAAGAAGTTATGAAAGTGTTATTAGATATGTTAATTGTAGAAAGGGGGTTCCATATGACATTTCCATACATGCTTATGATGTACTTCAGTGAGAGGAGTGGACTTGTAAGAAGAAACAGGTGTGGCAAGCCCTGTGATGGCACTAACTTCCAGAGAGCCTAGTAGTTCCCAGTGGACCTGACCGGCACTCTTGTCTCCTTTGTCTGCAGGGAGCTGAACGGAAAATCAGGGACGAAGAACGAAAGCAAAGCAAGAGAAAAGGCAAGTGCACTGACCCCAGGTCCCCAGGAATGGCTGGCAGTGGCAGGAGCAGACCTGCTAGCCACAGCCTGGACCCTGGGGAGTACAGGCTGGATGGGGGAGAGACTGAACTGGCGAATGCCAGCACTAAGGTCTTCACCAGCAGCTGCTGAGGAGGGCAGAAGCTTGCCTACAGAACTGCAAGCCAGTGTCTTGGGCTATCCTGGGCTCAGGTTCTTTTTGATGCTGGTTCTAGCTCACTATGTTGAAGTTCCTTGGGCGCCACGTGTACTGATTCAAGTCTCTTTATTCAAGAAGACATCAAGCCAAAACACAGGCCAGAGCTAGGTTATAGAACCCAGCAAGCGTGGCCAGAACAAAAAGGGGCCAGGGTCCCCACGTGCAGCCCCTTAAGAAGCTCCCTTACGTCACCCCGGCTTTCCTTCACCACGCCCTTATGGGCGAGTCCCGGGTCCACCTGGTACCTGTCCCAGGACTATTGGGCGGGGCTAGGGTGTCTCCCTACACTATGTACACCAGACTGGCCTCCAGGTCACAGAAATGGAGCAGCCTCCACCTCCCAAACGCTGGGATTAAAAGACATGCCCCCCACACAGTCAGCCCATAGCTATAATCTCTTGGTGGCCTCTGTTTTTGCTCCCCAGTTTCTGATGTTAAAGTGCAACTGCTTCCCTCACACAAACGGACGGACATCACAGTGTTCAAGCCTTTCCTGGATCTGGATACCCAGCCTGTCCTCTTCATCCCTGATGTGCATTTTACCAACCTGCAGCGGGGCAGTCATGTAGGTACCAGCCTCCCGGGAGATGCTGCAAGATCTGGCAAAAAGAAAACAGTGACATTTTTCATAGTCAGACCACAGTGGCCCTTGACCAATCAGTGAGCTCTCTGGAACTTTCAGTCATGGTGACATGATACCCAATGCAATCAGATGGTAAATGGTAAATTGATCTGAAGATGCAATGCTGGACCTGTCAACCTCAGTTCCACATGTGTTCTTTCATGTTGTAGCTCATTGAAAGGTGTTAAGAGTAGCATCACATTTGGAATTTGAGTCTGTGGTCTTGTAAGTTCAGCTTGGGTGACACCTGTGTCAGAAGGCCGCTTCTTATAGTTCCCATATGTTGATGTCATTGACATGTGCCATGTGCTCTACAGCCATGTCTTGGCAACCCATGCTAATTTTTGTTGTTGTTGTTGTTTTTCAAGACAGGGTTTCTCTGTGTAGCTTTGGAACCTATCCTGGCACTCACTCTGGAGACCAGGCTGGCCTCGAACTCACAGAGATCCACCTGCCTCTGCCTCCCGAGTGCTGGGATTAAAGGTGTGTGCCACCAACGCCGGGCTCAACCCATGTTAAATTTAAAAGCCAGCCACACCCTGCTTTGTGGTTCAGGAGTTTCAGGAGAATGTGGCTTTTCTTTTTATACTGAGGTCTGGTAAATTCATAAAAGAGACCCTGCCATGCACTTAGTGGAAAGATTTGTAAGGGACTAATGAGTTTTCAGAGGTGTTGCCAATACTCTGATTCTAGTGAGAACCTCAGGGCGAGCTGGAGTCCGCAAGGTTTTTCTGTAAAGGGGCTGATGAATGCTTCAGACTTTGGTGATTTGTGTCGTCCCCTGTGGGCTATCCCATTCTGCCATTCTGTTGCAGAAGGAGCCACACACAGTGAGTGACTGAATGAGTGGGACGTCATTTCACTAAATGTTTACATCAGCCAGTCTCCATCAGGTTTGGTCTCAGGCCACAGAGACCAGCCCCTGAGTCAGCGAAGTTGAAGAGAACTGTAGAAATCTGGGTGTTGAAAGATGTGACTACAGGATTGTGTCTTTTAGAGGATGGGTTTGGTATTAGGCTGGTCACATTCAAAATTATCTCCATTTTGGGACAAATTTACTTACCATCTGAAATATCTGAACAAGTTTGGAAAGCAATCTGAATCTTGTGTTTTTGGCTTTAGGTTCTTTCCATCCCCTCTGAAGAACTGGAAGGTGAAGGGTAAGGTTGATGTTTTGTTTTAATCTAATCAATTCAAACTCACCAAAAATGTAGAAACAATTCAAAGAACTTGTTTTCCTCAGTGCTGAGCTTAAGTTTCTCGGCCAGGTGTGGTGGCACCTACCTGCCATCCTAGCGCTTGTGGGATGATGCAGGAAGATGTGGATTCAGGCCATCCTGGACTACACAGTGAGTCCCAGGCCAGGACATCATAGCAAGACCCCTCAGAGCTGACCCAGAGCCTCACCATTCCTGAATATCAAGTGTCTGTCTCCTATTAACAGGGACCTCGCTTATATCCCACAATGTGGAAGGGAACACTGCTGGCTCAATGGCAATCCCCATTCAGGTCTCACTGGTTGTACGGTAACACCATTACGCAAGGCCAGATTCTGTTCAGAGCCTCCCTGGTGGTGTGTCTTTAACCACTTCAGTCTGGGATAGCCTGCTTTGACTAAACTTTCAGCCTGCAGTTGAGGCCTCACTGCGCACTCCAGATGTGTGTATTGGCAGGACTGCTTATGGCAACACTGCCCTCTGATATCTCCTTCCCTTGACACCCCACTCAGTTTATCTCATTCCTGTGACCATAGTGACCACACAACTAAACCTCTGCTTAGATTTCTTCCCTTTTGTCTACTCTGTGGAGACAGTGTGCTGTACCCTGTAAATACCTTGTTCACCTCCAAACTTCCAACTTTCTCACTCATTAATATTAGTACTGGGCTCTGTCTCTCACTTTAAGCTGTAGCCTATCCCTTCCTCTCACAGGGATTCACTGATTGCCTGTGTTGACACAGGGCTTCCTGTCCCTTGGAGCAGCCCTGCTGCTTTTGACTTGCATTCAGTGCTTTCCTTGGCCAGCCACAGAACCAGTCTTTAAGAAACACTGGTTCCCCATAGGGGAGGCAGTGTGTAGAACCCAGGACAAGGGATCCCAGATGTCCCTCTGAAGTCTCGATGCTCCTCTCTGTAGATAGCCTGCTTATCCCCCTGGGCCCTGTGTGCCGCAGTCCCCTGCTGTTAGTATATCCACAGCCTATGCAGACCCCAGCCTAGCTTATCCTTCATGATGGCTTCGGGACTGAATTTTGAAGGAATAGTAGGGTCTGATGTGGTCATTTCTTTTTCTGCTCACACAAAAGTGCATGGAGATGAAAAGATGGAGATGGAGCGCAGCTGCTGGTGGCTTCCTTTGTCTTCCTTGCATCTCAGTTTTGGTTTTGGCTTTTGAGACAGGGCCATACCCTGGCCCAGGCTGGCCTAGGACTCACTGCATGGCCCAGCCTGGCATCTGGCTCAGGAGCAGCTCCCACCTCAGGCTTCTGAGTGTTGTGATTGTAGGCACAAGCCCCCACGCCTGCCTCTTTTGGCTCTTTTTCTGATTTCCCTCCTCTCTGACTGGCTCCCAGCCCACATTTGTTGCCACTAGGCCTGTGCCACCAGTTCCATTCATGGTGTCTCAGACATGGCTCCTGCAGGCGCCTTTACCAAGTGCCTGTTAATGACCGAGGAGCTGAGGTGAACTGATACTTCGAGGCCTGTTCTGAAAAAGCACTCGCTGTCCTTATTTCTGTTTCCTTGCTCACTTCACAGCCCCTCACCAGAACACATGTCTTTGCCAGCTGTGGCTCAGACCTGAGAACTTTCTTCTCAGGCTCCTTGTCCATTCTCCCCTGGTATTTCCATGGAAGCCATTAGAAGCTACACTGTGATTGTCACCCAAGCCTTCTAATAGACTGTCCTACCTATGGGCTTGGAATTTCCTGCAGCTTAGACCAGACATTTTGGGCACAACTATCCACCTGACACAACTTGTAGAGAGAGTCTCCTGACCTGTGACATAAAACCCATGATTCCTTAAAGCCGAACACAGGTTGGCAGCCTGCCCGCCTAGGTGTGTCTTGTGTCACAGCAGGTCTGTCTCTGCTTTCCTATGCTTAGTGCTGAGTTGATGGAAGCATGTCTAGCTATGGAGCCCATCCAGCATGTCATTTGGGTGGCCTAAGCCTAATGAGCTCTGCCCAGGTTGTCATCTGGCTTGGAACACATAAAGGATGAAAGGAGTTTAAGTCTGAAGTGCCGTGACTGCCCATGCAGTTCATCACAGTTGAAGGGCATGACCTAACTGTGCTTTGACTCACCCACAGGTCTGTCTTGAAAAGGGGGCCATTCGGAACCGAAGATGACTTTCTAGTTCCTCCACCTGCTAAGATGACCCGGACAGAAGAGCCGAAGAGAGGTGTGTGGGTCCCAGGGATAGATGGGAACTCTTAGCCAGCAGTGAGCTCATGAACTTGGCTTCTCTGCCTTCACCCCTGCAGGGTATGGGGAGAAGCAGAGTTCAGGGGAAGCTGCAGCTGGGTCCTGGGGCTCACACTGTGGTGGCGTATGTTGCTGTCCCTTGTGGGACTGTGTCTGGCCATCTTTAGTACCTGTGGCCGTTTTCATGAATTTCACTTATGCGAATTAACTCTTTCCTCCCTGGCCCTTACTCAGTGCTGCTGTATGTCCGAAAGGAGTCAGAAGAGGTCTTTGATGCCCTGATGCTCAAGTCCCCGTCTTTGAAGGGCTTGATGGAAGCAGTAAGTAGGACATGCACCATGGTCCCTCTGTGACATTGAAGGGGCCTCACAGTCCCCTGAAGCATTTTATTAGGCAACCTGATTCTTCTGTCATGCTGGAACCTTGACCTCTTTCCCAGCCATCCTTTGTATGCCTGTAGCGCTGCGTGCATCTGACGTGCCTTGGGCATCCTTGCTTGACTGCAGGTCTGTCTATCCTTATGACCAGCCTGGAGTTGGTAGGTGGATCCCTCTGTCATTTGTGTCCTGCTGAATTCCATTTGTGATGGCCTAGGGGGCAGTTTAACTTTTATATTTTTTTTATGTTTTTTTTAAGATTTATTATATATACAGGGTTCTGCCTACATGCCAGAAGAGGGCACCAGATCTCATTCAACGTGGTTGTGAGCCACCATGTCGTTGCTGGGAATTGAACTCAGGACCTCTGGAAAAGCAGTCAGTGCTCTTAACCTCTGAGCCTTATCTCCAGCCCTAACTTTTATATTCTTGATTAAAAGAAAATTCATGTAGCAAACCACGTAGAAGTTGACAATAGTAAAGCCTTTAAAATGTCATCCATAAACTAGTTGTTCAGTTGGACTTGGGAGCAACATCTGTAATTTCCAGAACTCTAGAAGCTAGGACAGAAACATGAGAATTTGAGATAAACCTGTCCCCAAACAAAAACTCCAACTCCCAGTTCACCTCTGCTCCTCCTTGGGGCCCCAGTCTGCCTCTGCACCTTCCTTGTCTTTGCCAACCATGACAGACCTTATCCAGAATACATCTGAGAGGATGTAGTGGTGTGACCTGTGAGGGCCACCAATCCCAGGAGCTTACAGAGGGCTGCACTCAGCTGTGCACATGTCCCCATGGGGGTGTCAGTAAGAGAAGCATGGGAGGACCCACCACCAGTCCTTACAAACCACAGAAATTTTGATCTCAAAGTAATGCATAATTGAAATTGGACTAGAAAATGCCCCTTAGCTCCTTTGGCAACTGCAGTATGCCGAACCCACTTAAAAAGACTTTTAAAAACAAACACACAAAACTCAGGTCTTGCTGTGTAGTCCAGGCTGGTCTAGAACTCACTAGCCCACTCTGGCCCCAGATTCCCCATTGCTGGGATTTTAGAATGGGCCACCACACTCAGCTTTGTCCAGGTGCCATTGTAGGCGCTGGAGCTACCAGAGTAAATGACACAATCCCCAAAGGAGTAGTCTGCTCAGATAGGAAGACAGAAGACAATGAAATAAGCTAGAAATCCACAGGTAAATGTTCAGATACAGAAAGTCTAATGACGGTGCATAAGTCAAATGAGGTGACAGTGGGTCCCGTCATCCCTCCATGTGATCCTCCATGCTTAGATTGGCCTCAGCTCAGTGATCTTCCAGCATTAGCCTCCTGGGTGCTGGGATCACAGGCATGTCCGCCATGTTGGATTTTGCATTCTTTAATGATGGTACAAACTTTTGACTTAATATCATGTGACCTGTCCATGACTCTCAAGGATGAATACATGCCAGCAGCGTTTCCTGCACGGGGTAGGCCTGGTGTGCACCATGGCTTCAGTGAGCAAAGCTGACGCAGTATTGACTCCTGGATGGAGCAGAGGTGGTGGCAAACAAGTCAAGGAGTTGTCACGGGGAACTAAAGCCACTCTGTGCACACAAGGCCTCTGAATCACAAAACCAAGCCTTGTCACATGGTCCTACAGATGTTTCTTTCAGTCAATTGTCTTGCTGACATCTGAATTAATTAGGGGAAACACCAGCCCTCTCCCTCCCCCTGCTGGGACATAGTCTGAATCTTTACATTCTCTTTGTTCAGGCGTCTTTTAAAAGCAGGAGGCTGAAATATGGGCTGTGGTGGCGTACACCTTTAATTCCAGCAATTAGGAGGCAGAGGCAGGCGAATCTCTGAGTTTGAGGCCAACCTAGTCTCCAGAATAAGTTCTAGGACAGTCAGGGCTACACAGAAAAACCCAATATTGGGGAGGGAGGGGAGTGGAGCAGGACAGGAGGAATTCCAAATTTAAGGCCAGCTTTGGCTATAGTAAGTCCTTGTCTCAAAACACACACACACACACACCAGAGGTGTGGCTGTTTTTTAAAACTTTGACAACAGCATTCTTATTCTCTGTTCTTCTAGATCTCAGACAAGTATGATGTCCCCCATGAGAAGATTGGGAAAATATTTAAGAAGTGCAAAAAAGGGTGAGTAATGACCTGAAGACAGTTGTCCATAGCACTGATGTCATATGCTTTCAGTGGCAGGCAGTCCAGAAGCAGCCATGAAAATTCATATGTTAAAGCTTGGCTTTCTGCTTTTATTTGTGTGAGAGAAAGTGGAAGAGTGATTCAGGGTCACACTCTGTAGCCCAGGCTAGCCTGAACTCATGGCAATACTCCTGTCTCAGGCTCCCCAGTGCATGGAGTGTAGGTGTAAACCACCATGCCTTGCCTTCTTTTTCTTATAAAATTTGATCAGTTTGTTTTTTTTTTTTCTGTGTCTGGCAGTGGTGAAGTGACTCCACACTCCAGGGTGTACAATGAAGCTGATTTAAGGATGTCAGGGCCCTCCTTTCCCATCACCAGCCAGGTGTGAGCCTGGACACATCCCACACCACTCACCTAGTTTCCACCTCGTGTTTTTGAGATGAGTTTTAGTGTTTATCAGTGAGGTGTCTCAGGCTCAGAGGAGGAAGGGCTTATACGTAATCATGTGGTTTGGTGATGTAGAGCTCCATGGTCATGTGGTCTACTGATCTAGAGATCCGTGGTCCTATGGTTTGGTGATTGTGGAGATCCATGGTTGTGTTGTTTGATGATTGTGGAGCTCTGTGGTCATGTGGTTTGTAGATGTAGAGCTCCGTGGTCCTGTGGTCTGGTGATGTGGAGTTCCGTGGTCCTGTGGTTTGGTGATTATGGAGATCCATGATTGTATGGTTTGCTGATGTGGAGCTCCGTGGTCATGTGGTTTGCTGATTTAGAGCTCTGTGATCCTGTGGTCTGGTGATGTGGAGCTCTGTGGTCCTGTGGTCAGATGATGTGGAGTTCCGTGGTCCTATGGTTTGGTGATGTAGAGCTGTGATTCAATCCAGTTATGCCTTTTCTCTTTCTTCTTGAATGCCCTACTGTAGGTTGTATTTTCAAGCTATAGAAAATTGCTTCTTGCTCAGAAATTAATTTTTAGTGTATTTTATTTGTGTGCATGTCTATGTCATAGTGCACTTGTGGAGGTCAGAGAACAATTTTCAGGAGTCAGTTCTTTCCTTCTACCACGTGGATACCAAGGGTGGAACACAGGTCGCTGAGCCATCTTGCTGGCCCCAGTAAATTACAATTTTTAGTTGCGTTTTAGTTGAAGTGTTTATGCTCTTTGGCATGAATAAGCAGCGTATTTGTCTTATTTCTAAACCAAATGCTAATTGGAATTTTCTAGATGAATCTAACAGGAAGGGTTAAGCTTTACTGCTTTGTTTGAATGTTGAGGGTGGCTTGCCAGGAAGGATAATCAGTCAGGTGGCTGGGACTCCATGAAGATGAGTTCTACTGATTCTAACGTAGAACAGCCCATATTGGGTACCATTTAGTGCATGAACATCCAGGCCGGATGTGGTAAAACAGGCAGTGTTTCCTGTCTGCCTCTTGCTTCCACCACTGGGATCCTGAACTTGGTTTCCTCCCTACCTGGTTCTCATTGGTCCTTGCCATAGGCACCGTGGGGCTCTTCATCTTCTGAATGAGGCAGTCACAGCATAAGAGGGTGTAACAATGTCCCCACAAGTCACAGCCACTCAATACCCAGCTAACAAGCAAATCCAAGCCTCCACACCCAAGTAGGATGGTGGGGACTCATGTCCTGTCTTTGTCCAGGATCCTGGTGAACATGGACGACAACATCGTGAAACACTACTCCAATGAAGACACCTTCCAGCTGCACATTGAAGAAGCTGGTGGGTCATACAAGCTCACCCTGACAGAGATTTAAAGTGTGGGGTGCTCAGCCCTCAGGTATGGGAATTCCATGAAAGTGTTCCATAGAACTTATAGTTTGGCCAGCTGAGGAGCCCTGGCACTCACCCTGCCAACACCTTGAATATCAGGGAAGGAACCTTTCACATAGGAGATGGCGCTGCGTGTAGCATGCTGTGTTGCTGTTTCCCATGTGATAGAAATCATGCGTTGTTGTGTTTGAGTTTCTAAGAACCTTGTACCGGATAGAACAGACCGTGGGAACCTTTGGGTTATCTGCTACGTTACTTACCAAATCTGCCTATAGGGAGATCTGCCTATGTCCACTATAGTGGTGGGCTGCTGGCTGGCAAAAGTCGGGAAGGCAATAATAGCTTGTCTTTGAGGACTCTGTGTTCTTGCCTGGCCTCAATCTAACTCCAGCTGCCTTGGGGAGTAGGCCTAGCCCTGAGCAATAAAGGATTGAGCCCTCTCCCTCCACCTCTCCTCATCTGATGTTTACTAAATAGGGTGCGTTCCTAGAATCTTCCTTGCAACTTCCTTGGACATACCAACTGCCTTTCTTATGAAGAACCTGAGTGGGTGACAGTGTGAAGTTAGTTGAGTTAAAAGCTGCGTTGTATATAAGTGCAATATCTTTTTGAAGGTCTGCCTGTAAATGTGTACATACATGTCTGATATAAATATAATATATATATATATGTATGTATGTATGTATGGTGTCTGTGTACAGATAGTGGGGGCGATCAGGAAGATCTGCTTTGAAAAACCCTCCCCAGAGAAGAAGTTAAGTTATTTTTGATAATGTGGACCAACCAGGTAGAATACATTTTCCCAAACACAAGCAAGTGTTCCCTAGCAAAAAGCCATCTCAAGCATCAGAGCCGCCCGCTCTTGAGATTGTCGCCACCATAGGGGTTTCTGTGCCCTGAGTGGAGCTAATGGAGGGAGGACTCAGCTGCAGCTACTATATGAGGTGTGTATGCGAGTGTCAGCAAGCTGTGCCCATGCAGTGTCACAGCTGTCATCGTGAGCCAGTGATCACCCAGAAGTTGGCCTACTTCCGAGAGTACTGTGTTTCAGAACTTTCAAGCTTAGCTACCAAGTGCTCTCATGAAAGCCCTCATGGATTTACATCACTGTGGCAGGGGAATGTTTTGTACACACTAAATATTTAAAATGAACTTTTCAATGTAATTTTATAACAAATCCTGTAACAAATACAATTGCGGGTCTCTTTAGGTTCAGGGAACTATAGAATAGGTCATTTGTATGAGTAGGATTGTTAGCTCTATACTTAGGTAAAAATATTCTAATGAAGTATGTGAACAAAATATCTGGTTTTCTAAGATACGGGATACGGGTCATTTAACACTATTTTATATTTTGTTTTACAAAATAAATTTTACTCGTTTTAATTGTATAATTGAATGTGTTTTAAACTAAAGGGATTGAATTTTATATGTCTATTTCACTCAATGTCAGCTCTTGTTATTCAGTGTGACTCCTTCATCCTTTTCCTTTGCCCTGACTAACCTGGAACTTGCTATGGAGCCCAGAGTGGCTTCAGACTCAAAGCTCTGCTCCCCAAGTGCAGGGATTAAAGGCATGCATGACCACAGCCCAGCATTTTTTTTCTTTTTTTAAACTCAGACTGCCTTTGAACTAAGTCTTCTGCCTCAGCCTCTCCAGCCCTGGGATTATACGCATGCAACACCATGTATAAAATATGCTTTTAACTAACATGATGCAGTTAATGAAGCCAACTCCCCTGGAAGATTTCCTGTGATTTCTATGTATTTTCCCACTTTCATCCTTAGGCTGGGAGTCCAGTCCGTGCCCACAGCTGGGACTACTGATGACTCGGTGGCTCGGGTCTGGCTTGGGGAGCAGAGTTGACAGCAGTTACCCTGTGCTAGCCCTTCTTCCAGCCTCCAGTGCTGCTGTTGGCTCCCTCCTCACTCAGCTCTGACTCAGGCTGAGTGAAAACTGTCTAGTAAATGGGGATTGCTAAGAGATACCTGAAAGAATGGCTCAGGGAAGGGCAGTGTCAAGGGGTCAACAGGCCCGGCTGGGAGGGCATCACAGAAGAAGGCCAAGTGGATCCCCACATGTGGAGAACTAGCTGCACCTTGGGAGTGCTGAGAGGATGCGCCTTGCTCTTTATTCCCGTGGCTCCATGTGCTCCAGGAAAGGAGTCTGTGACTGTCATCCTGTTAGTGACATTCTCATCCCACCTGAGGTCACCACCAGTGCAGCCAGGCTTTGATCCTTGTCCTCTGCCTCCTGGGGTCAAACCAGATTGTGCTCAGGTCTACTCTGTCTTGTGTTCGTGACCACTGACCCTGCACTCTGAGCACATGACTCCTGACCCTGAACTCCTGTAACTGCTACCCATTTCAAATCTATGAACCAAATACAAATGTAACATCCAAAAAAAGGAAAAAAGAAAGAAGGAAGGAAAGGAGAAAGAAAACTCCATCAGCTACCAGAATGAACTTCACAGCTCTATGACAAGGCAGCTGGAGGTCTTCCCTAAGATAACCACAGAGAAGGTCCTAAGGCAGAAGAGTTTCTGGAGTAGGCTATCTAATGGAATCAAGATACTGCTGCCTCCACCATCCCCATAGTAATGAACACTGGTAGAAGCATGAACTGTGAATAGGGATGTGGAAAATCTTAACCACTGGACATTCCTAGTAAGTGCTTCTAATCAAAGAGCTGCAACTAACTACAGGACTTTTAGACAACTTGAAAAGCCAAGAAATAGAATGGTGTTTGTTTGGTCTTAAGGGATAAAACGATGGAAGAGAAAGATGTGTTCTGGGGTCCAGAGACCTAGTTCAGGTGCCATGTAGACTCAGAGCTCCTAGGTCTGGGCTGGTAGGAGCTGTGTCTCCTACAGCAGCAGATTTCCTTGGCTGGACATCAGATGGAGCGCCTCATCCTGTGACTGAGGTACAACCATGAAGGGTGTCTATTAATGTAAAGATATTGCCTTGGGGACACGGGAGTCTGTACTTTGGAATGAGGACATGTGTGAAGATTGACTAAGCTGGAGAGAGGTGACTCCCCATCCCCAGTGACTACGGCCTCCCTACTCACAGTGGTATCTATCTGCCTCAAAAAAAAGTATTCCATGATTACAGGCCATGTCCTGTATATGACTGCCATAGTTCCTCTTTGTTATAAATACAGCTGTGCATAGATCTATGCATGATGCAAATCTTTGTTTTCTCTTCTTGCTTATCCCCTTCCCATACAGCGTAAGACGGAGAGACTTTTATCAATATGTGAGAATTGTACTTGCACATCACAGTATTTAAAATGTGGATTATTAGAAGAGTGTGCATCACTCCTGGGGGAGAGGATTGGGGTGTTTGGGGCTGTATGAGACAAGGCATGTCTTTGGAGATGAAGTGTGGTTTAGGGTAATGAGTGTGGGTACTAAATTGACAAAGGGGTGGGAGGAGGCTAAGAATTCCCAGGAATCTGGCAAAACTTCACTTCTGGCAGCCTCTGTGAAATTGTTTCTTGAAGAGATGAGTATTGGAGATATGGTGGCATGCCTGTGATCCCAGCACTTGGGAGGTGAAGATAGGAAGACCAGCAGTTCAAGACCAACCTCAGTACATGGTGAGTTCAAGGCCAGTCTGGGCCACATGAGACTGTCACTGCACTACAGCAGGAAATATATCTGTAGCAGCGTTTGAATCCCTGGACCAATGAGGAAGACACCACTCACCAACCTGGGCTTGCACCATCCAACCCTTTGAGAGCCTGATTAGAATGAGGGAAAGGAAGGAGTGATCCATTCTCTCTCTTAGGCTGGTGTAACCCTTTTTCCTGCCCTCAGATACCACTGCTCCACTGATCTGCCTTTTCCACCTCCCCACCCCCACCCATTCCCTTACCGGACCCCCACATACAGTCTCCAGACTGAGACTGCATTAGCTCCCCTGGGTCTCCAGTAAGCAAATGAGTGTTGGTAGACCTTCTCTGCCTGAATAATTCTGTGGTCCCCACCCTTACTTCCTCTTACACGTATGTGTGTGTGTGTGTGTGTGTGTGTGTGTGTGTGTGTGTGTGTGTTTGCACGCACATTAAAGAAACAGTGGAAGATAACTAACTATATATGGTTGTATGGAGACACAGGGCTGTCCTCTGCCCACTCTCAAACCATCACCCAGATGGGATTATTGCCTGTTTATTTCTCTCACAGAGGGGTGGGGAGGTCATGTGACCTTGGGGCAGAGCTAGAGTATATAGTAAGAGGGAGCTCCATCTCTGCAGGTATGGAAAAGCTGCCACCCTACTGGATGAAGACTTTCTAGTGTGGCATCCTGTAGGAGGAGCACTCTCACTCCTATAAGAAACCCCTCTCCAGTGCTCTGAGGAAGCCCAATAAACTCACAAGAGTGAATTTTGGTGGGTGTGATTGGGGCCTTAGGAGAAAGACATTATTTGTGTCTCCCCTGTAGAAAGACTTTTTAACAACAAGAGATTGTCTACACATGAGTATGAATAAATAGCTTGTCTGGTTATCAGTTGATCTATTACTGATATCTGTCATCTATCCCTATCAGTTATATAGCTCCTGCTGTTTCTCTGGAGCATTGGAAGTCACAGATCTCATTTCCAGATGAGCAGCCCACCTTCCTACTTCCTAGCCTAGATAGTGTCTAGGGTGACCCTCTGCCCAAGGCAGATGATGCCTGTGTTCATTCTACCAGGGGCTTGGCTCGGCTATGCAGGGAGGTGGCCCAGGTAGAAGCCCTGGTTGCCACAGCCCTCGTCTGGCCTCCTTGAGCCTCGGGTCCCTGAGTTGCTGTAGTTCACGCCAAACAGGCTAGATTCTTCCCTGGCCTCCCCCACCATGTCTGTGTCATATAGGAGAATAGTGAGAGAGTGAACTTTTGCACAGCTGTGCCCAGCAGCCTGCACTGGTACGGTTACCAGGGGCCCACATGAAGCACTGAAGGCTGAATCAGGACTCTGGAGGATGGCAGTGCTCCCGGGGCCAGCAGCCTCTATCCAGGAAGTCCCCAGGGAAGAGAGAGAAGCCTGTGTCCATTATCAGCTCCGCCTTAGAGTCTAGAAACAGAGCATAAATGGATAAAGTCATCGTCTCCATTTCTCCCCAGGGATCATACTTGTCACACAGCCACAGACAAGGCTGTCATCTCTTCATCCCCAGAGCCTTCATGGGAAAATGAAGAGCCCTTCTCAATGTCTACCCTCTCCTGATAGCTGCCTCTTTTTCCATTTTTATTCTATGGGAGCCCACCCTTCAGTCAGCAAATGCCCAGTCCAATAAATACTTCCCAGCATCCCTTTGTGTCTCATCACTCCTCCACTGCCTCTGTCATAGCTCTCAGGGGCCTTGGCTAGCTGCTAAGGAGACTTAAAGAGCCTCCGCAGCCTGTCTCTCAACCTGGCAATCATGTTCAAGCAGCTTTCAAAGGGTAAATAGTTAGGAGGAAAGTGCCAAGGAGCTCTGGGCATCCAGACAGACTGTTGGTGAGGCTGGGGAGGTGGCTAAGTTGGTAAGATATGTGTCTACCTTGTAAGCATGAGGATCAGAGTTTGGATCCTCAGGAGTTCTGCAACCTGTGACTATAATCCCAGTGCTGGGAAGGTAGAGAGACCCAAGGATCCCTGGGAGTTGCTAGCCAACCAGTCCAGCTGCATGGAAGATCTGATTCAGTAAGACCCTGTCTCCAAATGAAAGGTGGGGGGCAATGGAGGAAGATACCTGATGTCTGACTCTGACCTCTGCACAATGCATGCCCTGGATTTGAAAACACACACACACACACACACACACAGACACACACACACACACACACACACACACACACACACACACACACACACACACACCTGTGCTGTTGATGAAATCTCATTGCCATACCATCAAATTTTTTTCAGGTGTTTCCCTTTATTTCTTTGAACTTAAATGTTTTAAGTTTTACAGAATTGTGTTGTGTCTTTGTGTACACGCATGTGTGAATGTGGGTGTTCATGTGCCACAGTGTACATGTGGAGGTCAGAGAACAACTTTCAGGAGTCAGAAGGCTACCATGGGATCCGGAATAGAACTCAGGTCATCAAGTTTGTGTAGCAGGCGCTTTGAACTCACTGTGCCATCTCACTGGTCCCTTTGAACTCATTTAAAGTAGTTACTTAAAGAATTGTCTAATTAGCCCCATGTCTGGGAAAGCCCAAGAAAGCCCTAATGTTTCCAACCTGTGTGTGGGCCATACTTTCTCATTTCTTTTCATATTTTGTCTTTTTTTTTTTTCATACTGCCTTTAGATTGTAATATGGTGTAACACCTCTAGGATGAGATCCGCCCCCTTCTCATTGTTGCTGTATCTCTTTGCCAAGTGGCTTCTCTGAGCCGCTTCTGTGCTGTGCACTTCTGTGTGCTGAATCTTGCTCACTAGCTCGGTGGTGGCCTTCAGGTAGACACCAAAGTCTTTGCCGAGGAGCTCTGTGGGGAGCACAGCTCACTGTCACATGGGTAAGCTATGAACAACTCCACTTAGCCTTCGCTTTCTCCTGGCTCAGGGCCAGAGGTCAGCTAGAGGTGGGATCCCAGGGCCTCCCAGGGCCCTTCCCTGATCATGTGCCTTTGTGAATGTGTTTGACTTTCCAGGTCCCCAGACCTTGGTTGAGCTTTGCAAAGCACCCATGCCCATTCATTGTCCAGTGTTCCCTTGTTAGCTTCTATTTTTTACATGTGAATATGGTGTGTGGGAGGTGTGTTTGAATGTATGGGGCACCCATGTGAGAATGATACGCAAGCACCTATGCCTTGTATATGTAGAGGCCAGAAGTTGATAACATGTCTTTAGCTCTCCACCTTGTATACTGAGAGCAAAGTCTCTCACTTGAATCTAGAGTTTGCTATTTGGGGTATCGTATTAGCTAGCCAACATGCTCCAGGGACCTCCTGTATCTTCTTTCTGAGCCCTGGGGTTACAGTGGATCCCTATAACCACCCAACATTTACGTGGGTGTTGAGTAACTGAATTCTGGTCCTCAAGTTTGCACGACAAGTGTGTTCACTCACTGAACCATCTCATCTTCCTTTAAGCTCCTTGGTTAGCCTAGTGTCTGCTCTCTCAGTCATGAAATCAAGCCACTTCAAAATATTTTTTAACAAAAGTCCCTTGGGGAATAGTGGGTGACCTTCAAGTTGGTTCAAGCAAAAGCAGCCTTGCAAATAGGGTTTCCAGAGAACCACCAACAGGTCAAATGATAACAGTTCTCCCAAATGGAGGCTCTCTTGGAGTTCCAGCCCCTGCAGTAGCTAACTGAGCCATCGGGAGCCGAAGAAGACAGTGGACTACTACACAGCCATGAGGGAAGGAACAATAAACTGACATCACTCAAGGGGCCTTGAGTGTGAGGAGTTAAGTCAGACCACAAAGGGAACTTACTGAATGGTCCCATTCACACAAAATTCTAGGAAACGCAAAGCAGTCTACTGTTCCAGAAAAATCTGTAGCTGTCTGGGATGGGTCCTCCTGGATGGAAATGTAGTTTCGGGGTAAGACAAAACTCATTATAATTGGCGAAATTGCAAACCTTAATAAGAGCAGTTTGGGTACAGAATTATGTATCTTCAGTTAAGATACCTTTTGTTAATTTTTGGTTTTGCTTTATTTTGTTTGAGACAGGGTCTCATTTGATAGCCCTGGCTGTCCTGGAAATCAGTGTAGACCAGGCTGGCCACAGATATCCACCTGCCTCTGTCCTGCTATGATGAGTTTAAAGGTGTGTGTCATCGTGCCTGGCAAGGCAAACTTTGAAAAGTTGGATCTACTGCCTATTAATAACTGAGTCCCCCACCCAACCCAACCACAATACCACACTATTAGATGACAGGTCCTCGCTAACTGGTTGTTCCCACGTTTGTTGAGTTTTCTGAGGTTGGCAGATACTTAGGCCAGGCTCTCCGAAAGTGCTTTTTGGAGCCCTGCTGGTCTGGAAGCTTGAGGGCACCTTGGCTTGGGGGTAAGGAGGTGAGAGGGCAGGAGGCCTTGTGTTCTTTCCTTTCTGTTGCTGTGGGGGGGAGACAAAAACAAACCACCTTGGCCAAAAGCTACTTTGTGGTAGAATATTATTTTAAGATGTGTTACATTTGTTTATGCTGTAGAACATTTGTTTAATGATGGAAAGATGTGTTACACTCTTTTATGCTGCATTTAACTCTGT